ACTAATGAAACGGAATTCACATTAATATTTATTTTGCATAAAAAAGTACGCGGAACAGTCTTTTTGAAATACTTTGTCCTCCAAATTTTCTTCGTTTATTTGTGTGTTTTATATAATTTTAGAAAAAAGCAAAGAAGAATCGTTTTTAGTTTATCACCAAAATATTTCTAATTCGTAAAAATTATTTCAAGAAAGAAATTGAAGTCATTTTCGATTTAACGAAACAGCGAAGGTTAACTGATCTATAAAATTATACTGAGCTGTCAGGCTATAAGCCATGTTGCGATTGTTTAGCTGGATCCGTTAAATAGACGTTTACGCTTCACAAATAAGTCCTATATCGAATATTTAGACCCCCGCTTTCTAAATAGGTGATATATAGTAATTGGGGAGTCGGTCAGTCCGTCTGTTTGTCCTTCTGTCCCATCTTCGTGAACGAAACTGCTCTGAAACTTCACTGACTCTTGTATCGCTTTTGCACTTACCATTTCATTCCTTTATCTAAATGCCTATTGGGGTTAGCTTTTGCCTCGTGACATGGACAAATCAGCACATTAAAAGTACACATTAGTTGTTTACCCTTTTTCATCAAAATTTATTGAAACTTTCTCATAATCTTACCCTAATAAGGCTTTTTTTACAAGTCCTTTTTTTTTTGTCCGAATCATTTTTGGAGTTTCCCTTACCAAAGCATGAAGTTTGCCTCATTTGGAGGGTGGGTATCCATATGGAATCCGCAACTTCTTCTTAAGCCTTACACTATTTTGAAACCACACTTCTTTTACAATCTTAACTATATAAATGCTATTGTGCACCTCATATGTTTTTTACAAGAATCATAATTATGGTTACCTTTAAGAAGGCATGGATTTTGCCTTTGTTTTATTTTTGTTTTCTCTCTTGTTTTCTCTGCATTGCATATTTACTAGTATATCATTATAATTATATATAATGATAGCAGTCTTTACTTGGGAAACGAATAATTCAAATGCGACCAAACTGCATAATTATGATCAAATCAGACTAACGACATACTTCTAACATGGAACCAAAAGCAAAATATGCACTACTTTAAGCGTATACGTGACCGATCTAGACTATCACCAAATTTTCCTTGACCTACATGTAAGTGATTCATGAAATAAGAGCTAAAATATCAATATTTTATTTGAAAATTTACAGTAATGTGTTTATAAACTATCAATTGTACCAAAAAACAAAAGTTGCGATCCTTTTAGGTAATGGTATTGTGATTTCCTAACTTTTTATTTATAATATTTGGCTCCTCCTCCAAATTAAAAGCATCCCATGTGTATCAATTCCTGCATTTTTTTTGGGTTGAATGAGAGTGCGAGACAAACTGTAAAACGTTGATCACTTTTGCGAATGTCTGTTCCTAGAAATGTTGTTTCGTCTTCAGATAGTTTTTTAAGTGCATGAGATAATTCAGAAATATACATGTCAACATGTCAAGTAGTTTCATCTCTATTGATGTTATCACTTGAAAGTCACGTAATAAACTTAAAATAAAAAGGCAATTAAATCTTGTAAAATTATAGGACAAGCAATTTTAATCAAATCAAATAATGAATTTGTTTACATGGATACAAAAAATCCAACAAACAAATTCAACATAAATCTAAAATTTTCGAATGTACCAAGAGAAGACAAAAGATTAAAAACACACAAAAACAATGATTCTGATGTCCCATTGTTTATGGCCGATACTGCATCCTTGAGTCGAATATACAAAAACGTTCGGAGCGGATTCCTCGTATCGAAATATCACTATGTTTATATTGTTGTGTTTGTTTTTAAATATTCATAACTTTTTAAATTTTGATTCTCACATACACAGATTTTCAAATTTTAGTGATCCTGTTTTCAGTAAAAAAAAAACATCAATACTTCCTTTTTATCAACAACATTTTCATATTGATATCTTGAGCAACCACACATTTAAAGTAAATTTTACAAACAAAAAAGAAATTAATAATATATCTGAAAGCAGTATCTGCTTCTATTTAGGCAAAACAAGTATTTCACATAAACAAAGTTAACTTGACGTGAAACTTCATGAATTAAAGATTTTGTTGCAAGACATTTAGTATGTATACATGTATACAAAAGAAAAATATTTGCATTCATATTGATTCTTTGATTAGATCCTGGTCTCATGGTAGCGTGCTTAGCACGAGTGCGGAAGGTTCCCAAAAAAATAAAAATTGTCATTTGCTGCTTTTCTGCTTGGCACAAGGCTTTTTGAAGTAAAAAACAAATGGTTGCAGACTCAAGCACAAAAAAAGTGTGTTCGAGAACGGTGATATATTTCGTCGTGTGAACCTTATAGTATTATATGTCTACTTTGATAAAAATGGAGATAGCTATATATTTGAGATCCGAGTGCAATAATCTATCTTCCTATATAATTATAATTCGAGATTTCTACACTCAACGAGTTTTTGTCAGAACTACACCGTTCTATCTCCCCACTCTCATTGGATTATAATGGCTTATTCGTCGAGTTAGTTCAGAGAAAAATATTTTTATAGTGTTGTATCTCCACAATTTCTGATGGATTTTGCTGTTAAATAATTGTCATCAAAATTATATTAGCAATACTATTTAAATAGTGTGCATGGTTTGAACTCAATCTATGAGCAATTCTTTTCAAATCCATGAGTACAGAATTGGGGATATTACAAAATTAAAAAATACTTGTTCTATCTCCAAAGGAAATTTAGGGTTAAATTTTCAAAACTTCATTAGTTATAGTGAAATGATCTATCTTCAAAAAAGGAGATGCTTTATTTATCTAAGTTGCTGGTCTATTAAAAAACATCGAACAAAGAGTTAATCTTCTTGTCTGGAAATTCGATTCCTATATAATAATATTTATATTATTGAGCTTTTAAAGTTTAATCTAAATTTTTACCAATATTACCAGATGAGAAATACATCATTATAAGATTCACACGACTATATCTTCCTGTTATTATGTGAGCTAAAATGTTAAATATCCGACTCAGCGTATAGTTTGAATTCAAAGCAGGGTTGATATTCATATCGCATTGTTATTACAAGTTCACGTCCTCATATACATGCAATATTTGGAACTGAACTTTAAAATCTTATACCTCCCTATCAGCTTTGGTTGGGACACTCGGCCAGTCAGCTCTTAAAAATACTTTATCAGATACAATATATAAACAGGGTAAAACAATGTGAATTTCTAAGCAATCCGTGCAATCTGGTTCAGTTAATATAAAATATGGAATAAGGATATGTGGTATGATTGCTAATAAAACAACAGAGACCAAATGAAACGGACTTTAGAAACTATACGTTATCCTATGGCCTCATCAATGAGAAAAACCTATATAGTCGGCTATCAAAGGCCCCGTCATAAATTTAGGAAACAATTTAATTGAGGAAACTAACGGCCTAATTCATAACTAAACAATTTACGATAAACAAATATTACAGGCATGAATCAACGACAATCACTGAACTAACGGTTCCTTACTTGGAACAGGTACGTAAAGAATGTGCCGAGGTTAAACATGTTTGCTGGCGCCAAAACCCTCTCTCTATCCTGGAACAGTGGGGTAAGAGTACACCATAAGAACAAACTATAAAAATCAGTTGAATTGATACAAAGCAGAAAAACAACTAGCAAAAAAAAAACGGACTGGACGTGGCAGAATTTATACATCCTCCACAACAAAAAAGACACAATTTACAGATCTGAGAGTACTCGCAGTTACTGACAGCTAGTTCAAAGCCAATAACAACTTATAAAAATAAATCATGTATCTAAGACTAGAATATCAATCAGTACACATCCACCATCCAATGGATTAAGTGTAAAGACGTCATTAACAGTCAGAAAAAAACATGACCTTGAGCAATGTCAAAGTATAGGTATCGACAGCAGATTATAGATTCGTGAATGTGCATATGTGTATAACAATAATATTTAATATGGTTTTAATTTACTGATAACAAAATCAATATTTATATCAATAAAACAGTATTCAAAGATATAATAAGTCTTGAATAGATAACCTTTAGGAATAAGTTAATTTCAAGGTTCGATAAGTTTACCCGGATCGAATTTTAATTTCGGGGCTACAGACAGGGGCATAACGAATGAGTTGTAATATATAAGCACCGTAAGACGGTGCCAAAGGAACTTCACCGTCCAAAAAAAGATTAACTATAGGGAAATAAAAATCGTCCCCTTTGTCGTGTAATACTGAAATGTCTAAATCTAGAAATGGACAATTATTATTAATATTAGATTTATTTAAAGTAAGTTCCTTTGTGTGAATTTCAGCACTATATTTAGAGAAATCTTGATTATTTAACGAAAAAATATCACCAAGATAACGGTAAGTGTTGTTGAATTTATCAATTAAATGGAATTTAGACGGGTCTTTACTGAGTTTTGCCATAAACTGTGATTCATAACAGTACACGAACAAGTCTGCTATTAAAGGGGCACAGTTGGAGCCCATAGAAATACCTACAACCTATAGATTCACTGTATAGCCGAAGCGTATATACATGTTGTCAAGGAGAAAATTAACAGCTTTAATCATCTCATCACACCTCCAGTAAGTATATCTAGCATATTCATCTTTCTTTTTAGAGAAAAGGGTTAAGATGAGTTGCAGCAAATACATTTGCAATCAGATTTTTATAACGACCTTTTTAATTTAATAGGAAAATGTTTGTTTGATGAGATTGCACGTAATTTATCTAAAACATCCAAAATGTTTTTAACAATTCAAAAACTACTCCAGTAATGAGGACAACAACGATAACTGTCACTTCATAAGTTCTACAGTTGCCATCATCATTTGCTTTTGTTTTGTTTTTTTTTTCTGTGAGGAGGTTTTAATGCTCTACAATATGTTGCATTCTATAGATATTGTTCCAAAGCGTTGAACATACAAGACAAAGCGTGTCCAATACAGGCATGTTGATGTCACTAATCATAGGTATCATGCGTTTAATTCAGTTATAAAGAATATATAAAACATAAAACAATTACAAAATATTTAATTATCTTAATCTTAAGATTTTAACATGTCTTCGAAAAATTATCACCCTTGATTATGACAATCGTTACAAATTAATCCAAATCCCGCAGATAAGAAATATTCATACAGTGTATACTAGTTACTTATTCAGTAGTTGGTGTACCTTTTGTTCAAGTAGCTTCTATCGCCCAAAAGAGTATATGTTATTTTGCAGTTCATATATCTAATGACATGTTTACATAAGACAAAAACCAAGAAATTCAAAGCTTGCAAAAAGAAAACATGCAGATTTAAAGACAAAAATTACCATACATTCATTAATTGCAACAAACCAGAACACTTACGGGGCTTAAAACATGAACACTAACTGATCGAAAATTGAAAAAAAAACCAAACACTTCTAAAGACTTAAAGTTAAAAAACAGGCTCATAATCAAAATGAGGTTTACTAATACTGTCTATCTAAAGATTGAAACCAGGAAAAAGACATACAAATATAACATTATAAGGCTTGATAGAATTGTGGGTTTCTTTTTTCAGCAACAAGAGTTATCAGTGAATCTCAAAGAACGAACATTTGCTTTTATTGTGTCGCTGTTTATTGGTGTATATTCTTTTTTCAATATTGGATTCAATGAGTCTGCTTTAGAAAAGAACAGGAGAAAATGTTTTTGATACTCAGTCAGTTTAATGGTAAAAAGATGGAATAAAAATGTAAATAAAATGATAAACATTCTGAATTGCAATGTACTTAAAAATTAATTTAACATTTAGCATTAACATTATGACACCTTGGCTACACAAACAACTTTCTGGCAAGTCCTACTTCAACGAAAATAACAAGAGTCCAGCTCATATCATACCGATAAATATAACAAAAGCATTAAAAACTATATGCAGTAAAATAATAAAACCACGTATGGTAAGCCGCATTACCGATCTATCGAAAATAGAAAACACCATGAAATTCAAACATGTTGCTTTCAAACAAATTTCTCGTGATGCACATCTATAATTCATTTCATGCCATTATACATGCATGCAAATTCAGCACTCTCCTAAACATGTTCTAACTATGTCCAGCACTAGAATTAAGATCCTTTTTTTCCACCATTTTATATGTATTCATAAATGCATATTAGTTTCTAACGGTTTTAAACGAACGTTTTTTTTAAAGTCTAGTCAAATAATTTCCATCTTTTCTTTTTCTGTTGAATTACGGTTTTTGTCCAGTCCGTTTTCGAATGCTATCTCTTCATCTCCTCTATCTTTCCAACAGCGATTTTCATATATTGAAGCCACCAGCTTTTCATAAAGATACACACGTAGTTTGTATATACCAAACAGTAAGAAATGGGACAACGGAGTGGAAACAAATATGAATAATAACGACAATGCTGTAGTTGTTCCAGGATTTGCCCAGTTTAAAAACGGATAAAGTATTTTTCCACAGGCTAAGTAATACATTATGTTTACAAAGATGTAAAAAATAGATGACAACACTGCCATATAAAAATGTTGAAATTTGATTGGTTTAGCTGATAAGATCATAAGCAGCAATATGTGGACAAGGTTTATTCCGTGCTTGTTTATTGTTGATGCCTTTGTTGCTGAAAAATAATCATATTTAATTTTAGACTTTTTTCATATACGAAATGATGCGACCAGGATTAAAATGTTTATACATAATTATAGCATCATAAACTCAATTAGACAAGGAATAACATTGACTTTTTATAAGCATAACAAAAAAAAACTAAATTGATAATAAAATGTTTTTGAAACATAATAATAATTTCTAACTAAAACCATACTACGACTCATAATGAACGATGTACATACTAAAATACTAGTGGAGATACTGTTTGCAATTTATACTGCAATCAGCCAACTATTGTACAAATAACAGGTACACAAATAATTGTTTGCTTTATTTGTACTTGTACAAATAAAGTCTCCTGTTACCCCTCTTCCATGGTGAGCAAGCGGTAATGTGGATATTACTTTTTGCGTACCAGTTCATTTTGGGGTCCTCCTCGCGGTCTGCGTTTAAACTATGTCGATTTCTTTGAAAAATTAGAGACAATGATTTAGATTCTAACAACTAAAGTTTCAAGTGTTGGGTGTAAATTTCAGGATAAAAACAATATATGTATAATGTCGGAAAATATATTGTATATGTAAAAAGTATAATCAAACTTAACACGAGGTAGATAAAGATGTGATGGAAGCTTGATATCTTTAAAACGGCAATATTGTTACTTATTCTTGAATTAAAACGTGACAGATCGATATATTTTTTTTAATCATTTTTTTCCATTAACACGTTCAATTTTCATCACCCACAAATGTATACATTCCAATTTTTTATGATATGATTGACGAAAAAATCTTTGAAACAATGTGATTAACAATCACTGTATTAAATATAAATAAACAAAATATATGTGTATCTGTTTGGACCACCCGTCAACGTGTTTTGCACATAATGCGAAATGACAGTACACCGTATCCGGAAACAATATCTGATAGAGGACACCGATTGTACAGTGTGGTACATACAGTGTTTGGTTACAATTACAATATTTGAAAAGGAACTAATCAGTTGCATTGTTCATAGATAACAAAACCCTGTTTCGGTTTTCCCTTTTTGCATGCACTTTGTTCATTGTTCGATATATGAAATTGTTTCGAATTTTCATATATTGTTTTTTTTCTGTGAACTACAGTTTTTGATAAACTTTTAAGATAGGGTTTTCGGTTAAGACAAACACAGTTTAATTCAAAAGGTAAACCATTAAGTTTGGTCTTGATCGTATCTGATGAAAGGGGGTCCACATCTTAACGCGGTAGTCAATGCCTCTGTGTTAACATGATATAACATAGTTATGGTGATCTAATGTAAATTAAATGTTCCTAGTATGTTGAAATCATAAGTGTTTTTCTACCATGAGGCTCACATGGATGGCAAAAGTCTGATTTTTGTACAACTTGTTGGTTTTCAAAGCTCTTCGGCTGTGTACTATAATTGATTTTCTAAGAATTTAAGCCTAACAGTGGAATCTAATGTACATGAAACGCGCAATTTCAGCACTACATTTTAATTAAGCCTAATGTCTTTGGTAAGTTTTGGATAAATTCCAACAGTCATATTAATAATAATAATCGCAAGAAACAATTGATCAATGAAAGCAAAATGTAACCAAGAATTCAGCACAATCTATAACTTGTTTTTATACCTGAATATTTATCAAAAGAACAGAAAATATTTTTTTTTTTTTTTTTTAAGAATTTTCCTTTTGATACAAGTGCTGTGAATTTGTTAATTTAGCACACTCGTCATTCAGGAAACAATATTAGCGATCCAGTTATAACATTTTAATTACTGTTCTTTTGCATGATGAAAAAAATCAAGATCTAAATTATATTCGGAAGTGTCACTTTAATGACATTTAGTTCACATTAATATAACCATTCCAGTAAAATGAGGCGTACACCAGCCCTTAAAATTTTAAACTAGCTACTTTACATTTTTTTCGCGTTCACATCTATTTTTTAAACTTACGAATCTTCTCGAATGATATCGATCGACTGTTTTATGAGTCTGGATTTGCAAGGCGAGAAGGATGCATGCTAGCAGGACGCACGTTCCCTGTCCACACCGGGTCACGCTTCTTTTAAAATTTATGAAAAACCATCAGTTTTCTTTTGATTTGTATATTCAAAATAGATTTACGAAATTAGAATATCGGTCAATTACTGCTGTTCCTTATTTACTCCCAATTTTGATTTCCAAAACTTGAATTAATCATTTTTTTTCTAATTTGAGGAGAGGATTTGTCTAGCATTAAAGAAAATCAAGAAGAAAAAACAAGCAAACTTAGATTTTTTTGTAAATGTTACACATTTGTATTGTTTATTGTTTATTGTTTATTGTTTATTTGTGTTATTTAGTAGTATTCCGATTGTTTGAATTTTATACAAATAAATATCTTTTATCTTTTCGTTCAACTACTTAAAAGCTTGTCATTAATATTTGTTCATCGTTCGTTTGACTGCTCACACGAGATCTATACTATCAATATTACATATCATTTTATACTCACAAGTAGCTATCATAATCCAGTAAAGGAGAGTAACTTGCATTGCTGCATGCCCACAGATGTTCAAAGTAATCCACTGTAGTTTAATATACCATGGTAAATATTTCATTTTACCTGCAAACAAGTTTGAATATCTAAATATCTAAAAGATTATTTTTTTACTAAAATTTCCTTTTCGCCTTGAATAAAACCCCGTGCTATTGTTTTGATATTTTTTGCCAAAATTATTGTCCGAGAACTTTTTCCAATATCTATTTAGCGTTAAACTCCTTCAAAAATCTATTAAGCGTACAATTCCTTCATTTCAAATTCTTTTTTTTTTTTTTAATTTATTAGGCCATTTTTCTCTATTCTTTATACTTTTTGCCAATTATTCTCTATTCTTTATACTTTTTGCCAATTATTCTCTATTCTTTATATGTTAGCACCTCGTTATTCTCTAGTCTTAATTTTTTGGTCCATTTTTCTCTATTCTTTATAATTTTTGCCCATCATTCTCTATTCTGTAAAACCCCATACACCCTCATGTGTATTTTGCTAAATATCATCGATGCTGCTGCTGCTGACGATGATAATGATGTCTTCGGGTTCAAGTTGGTGCTTTTTATTTTGAAAATGTGTTCTACGGTACCGTAGTTGTTTTGCATATCTGTAATTTCAATCATGATTAAACCAAACATAGAAATTTCTATTTAATAATCTCGATCGGAAGGTGTCACCTCAATTTTAAGGTTTAAGATACATGTAAATGTATATGTGAAATTTGTGAATTTAATAAACACTGTTGTGAGGGGTGACACCAGGATGCTCATTTCCCAAATCCTATTTTCAAAATTTCAAAAGCATCTTCCTAGAATCAGTATTCAAACACTAGTACTACATTATCTTGGAGCAGAACATTTGCGATAGTCTGTCACCAGAAGCTTGAGGCCGACGCCTTAGGAAAGTAGCTATAGCAAGCTATAGCAAACTTTCCAAAAACCGCAATTTTTATACGTGTGCATGCAAAACAAATTTCTTGGTAGAGGGGTCTAAATACAGCACAAACAACATTTCTCAAAAGACCAAAAAAGTGAAAAAGTTTATTTTAACAAAACGCATTTGACTAGCAGGTCGAACAACGGATGTTCTTAAACCCTGCTGACTGCCATTGGCGATTGCCAAATAAACGGATCACCAGATGTAACAAAATGGACCTTAACTATTAATTTAATACCAATTAATGTCTCTTCAGTGATGTTAGAAATCGAAACGGTATTTGGAAAACCATATAATTTACCTCAATTTAGGATAGACTCTTGAATTTTGAAGAGTCGAAATAGGATGAACGGATCATATAACCTGAAGGCAAATATAATACAAGCCCAAACAAAAAAATATAAACAAGTCTAAATTGAAAACAATTATATATATATATATATAATCTGAGACAAGGTATGGTATTACTATCATTTGAACTTAATGCGTTATTTTTTTTTTATCTCAGTTATGATTTAATTAATCTCAACTTATCAATTTTAGCTACTAGTATTGATTTCGAAAGAATAGTATTTCAGCTTTACAATGAGTTAAAAGATTTCAAAAATTTATTGTGTAGTTGGGGAGAAATTGACCTTTAATTGGAGTAAAATAAAAATTATCAAATATTAAAACTAACATGACTATTGTGCTAATATAGGTGAAAAGTGTCATGGCATACGTTCAATAGGGTTACACTAGGGTCTAGTGGTTCTTGAGAATTGAGAATGCAAGTTAAGTACCAGCGATTATTAAGAAGAAATAGTTTTAACAAGTACTGATGACAAACGATAAGTAATAATTTCAATTCAAACTTTATGAATAGATTGACATACATGTTAGGGTAAGAATAGTTTGAACTGCCTCCTTTTAAAACGCTGCCAATAAAACGTTAAGGGCGTACGATACAGTTACAGGGGCGATAATGACGTTGCTAACGATAACAGAGGGACAGTCAAACTCATAGATTGAAAATAAACTGACAACGCCATGGCTAAAAATAAAAAGACAAACAGACAAATAATAGTACAGAAGACACAACATAGAAAACTAAAGACTAAGCAACACGAACCCCACAAAAAACTGGGGGTGATCTCAGGTGCTCCGGAAGGGTAAGCAGATCCTGCTCCACATGTGGCACCCGTCGTGTTGCTTGTGTTATTACAAATCCGGTAAATAGTCTAATTCGGTAGGTCACATTCGTGAAAAGGGAAGGGTATTGTAGTTACGACATAAGGAACATATCCGATATCATCTGTGATAGAACGGTTATTCCATAACGGTCAACCAACTCGTGATGGCGTCCGTAAAATTTACGAAGGGATGATTTCAACATCACCATTTGGAACTCTTGGTTTAATAGCTTCCTTGTGAGCAGCAATCCTCTATCAAGGAAATCATGAAAATACAAGCCCGGGATTATCGTATCATTTGGGAGATATATACTCCGTATGCAGGCGCTGCTGGAATGTTGCTAAATGAAATGGAAAGTTCACAATTGGGAAGCTGAAATCATCTCTTTTGTCGTAAAATTTGGTTTTCAACCGACCCTCATTGTCAATTTCTAGATTTAAGTCAAGATATGAGGCAGACTTAATGTTAATTTTCGCGACGTCAAATTGCAACATATCGGGAAAAGATGCATTTTTCGAGGGATTTTAATCATTAGCTTTAAAACGAGTGCATGGACCCCTCTTTTTTAAAATGACATTTGACATGATACTGTATGAAATTTATTTGTTCTAATTTTTATGGAAAATCCACCGATGAATTTTTTTTTAAATTAGATAAATATACAGCAAAAAATGCCGTTTTTTTTCTAAAATCATGAAAATTTAATAAAATGAATTATTAAGAAAAGAATTGTTACACAAATTATGAGCCGACTTTTGTAACGAAGATATTCCAGACCGTCTTACAAAAATCCTCATGTATTTATCTTTTGAAACAAGAAAGCTAAGTATGTCTGTCCAAAGCATTGAAATGTCCAAAAAAATCGAAACTTTAGTAAATGTCCAAAATTTCGACCACATTCATCTCTAAATTTAGCACATGAAGGTATATTTTTTATTACATATTTGAATTTTCTAGGTAAAAAATAGCTTGTATGAAAATTTTCGTTAAAAATATCACCATGGGATCAAAACTGTATCGTATGCCCTTAAGATTGGAAGGGTTTCAAAAAAGACGTCATATAGTGAAATAAGCATTAATACGTGACTTCAATATTTTGATTGACAAAAATAGTCGTGCATTTTTAAATTTTCAAAATGGATAGCGAATAGAGGCTTCTGCCCAATTCTGTGGATATAGATCAAGAGATACGAAATTTGCTATAATTGTTATATATTTGAAGCTGGCATTCTAATGAACGTCACTGCATTTTATTTTGAACACTGCATGAGCTTAAAGAACACTGTTTGTCAGATTTTTAGGACAATAAAGTAAGGTATCCCTTGCGTTATTAAAAAATCATGAAAATAATCATACCATAAGTATATATATGTAAGTGTATGTTAATTACACCCGGGCTTTCAATTAAAAAATAAGTGATTGCATGTTCGAATCAACATCGGTTATTCGAAAAAAAAAAGATTCCAAACATTTGACATAGTAATTTTTCAAGAAAGGTCGTATTGGACTGTCTCTAAATAAGATCAAGCGGAAAAGGATATAGCCAGCAAACAGAAAATAATTGCACAAAACAGCTGATTTGAAAGAAAGTAACCTTCGGAGGAAGTAAGCGTTCAATTAAAATTTTAAATCTGATACGATATGAACAATGTAGTATATACATGCCATCAGGTGCACAGGAAATCCTTAAAATATGAGATTGTTAGTTCATTGGGTATGTCCCATATAACGCAAACCTTTTATTTTAGTCAAATATAACTGATCGTGACCAATTATAGTTCGTCGTATTATAAAAAATCAGACCAATATGGGAAACCCTCCGATAATGAGGATTTCCAAAATCGAAAGTCGTGTGAAATTTTCATTGCATATTAATTTTGATATAAGCAAATCATTCTCAATCTTAACGTATTTCTCTTTATTAGAGGCATGGCATTTTATTTGTTGAAAAATATAAATAAAATGATGCTAAATTTTCCACTGAACACTTCCTGTTGGTAGAAATATGTTTCAATATTTTTTTTTAAACATTACTGCTTACGATATATTAATCCTCATTACCAATGTTTAATATTACATTTGTATGTCAGCTTTAGCTAAAATAAGTCAAGTTTACCACAACAAAATTAAAGAAATTTGAAGAAAAAATGCTACATTTTATAATTCTTTTGATCATTATTAAGTCATTATTTTCCTTCAAAAAAGTGTTTTCCACATTTTCAAATTAAAAAAATATAAGAAACATATACCCTTACGTTGCGTTAATAAGAATCTACATTGGCATACATGAAAGCTGGAAATTGACTTTGCATCTATGGATTTTCTAAACTGAAGACTATTAAAAACTGCGAAGGTCCTTGTTTCGACGCTTTTATCTTTGCATTTGGTATAATAAAGTAGCTATAATAGCACGAATCTGACATAACTTATATCTAGCTTAAAAGAGGGATATAGTATGATTAAATTACGACAGTCAATTACCCTTTAGTTATTTAAAAATAAACTCAACATAAAGTGGTTGTTACTGTAATTAACAACAAAGTTTTAACTTAAGGTGGTACCAAACACCTTGACTAAAATTAATTTGGCTCGGTTAATTTTCATAAAATTTTGACAAAATATTAACTTTGACCCTTTGAAAAAAATATAAAAATTTCAAGAAACTTGAACCACACACTTTATCGGAAAAATTTTATTGGATATATAGCAGTTTGACAAACACTAATTTTGATCACTGAGAAGCTTAATATTTCCTTAACAATTGGACGTGATTAAAACGTTCAGCTGATTTTTACAGAATTATCTCCCTGTAGAGTTATGTACCAACTTAACCAAACTCCTCTTACCATTTGCTATTTCTGGCCTCAAACAACATACGTATAGACAGCAGACAAAATCTACCAATGTAAAAAATGCCAAAGCCAGGTAACTTAGATTTGTCAAGAGTAGCATCCATTTTCCAGGTGTATTACTTAGACTCCAGTATGCTTCTATCAATATCCAAATCAGATGATAAGCTAACCAAAGTGCTGCCCAAATTACGTATAAAATCTGTGGTCCATGCTGGAAAATACAATACATATTAAGTTATTGGTCTTTTGTTGGGCAATGTATGACAAATATATGTTGAAAAACCTCGCCCGTAATTATAAATTATGTAATTCCTTGACCGCTCCCGACATGTGTAACTTCAAGGCATATTTTAGCGGCGATCGATGTCTTTCAAAATGACTGCACTTTTCTTGTATCACTGGTGCTTTCGACTGGTGAACCGTCGTGCACAAGCATCACACAAGTTGGCACTCCGAGGCCGGTGGGGAGCAAGAAGGTGAACTGTGATTTATTTTTATCAATAGTACCGCGTAAGTCGACGCTAGGGGCCGTCTTGACCTTGTTGTAGGGTATGAATGATTCGTTCAGTGTGGAAGACCCTACATCAACTGTCAAGATGAAGAACAGGAATAAAAGCACTGTTCTTTGATAATTTTCTATGTTTTCAATGTATTGTGTGTGATTTTGTCGTATGTACATTTACTCCATATCCTTTCATTTTCTATAGTAAGAAAAAAGACAGTTACTAATGGAATCTATTCAAGAGTACATCAGCTTATTTTAGACGAGTGAGATAGTATGATACCATTAATAAAAGAGAAAGTATAATGAACGTGCTTTTAGCAACTGACACTTCGATACGATATTTTAATGTACTTTGCTTTTTAATTGTAATTATTCGGGCTAATGAGGACACTTTTATTAATCAATAAATCTAATGTAAATTATATTGTCAAGTGTGTCGATGTTTGTCATTGGTCTGTCATGAAAATAGCCAATCAGCAATTAGAAAACAAAATCAGAATTAATAAATTCAATTGAGGGTGCTTCTAATAAACCATTTTGAGAAGATGTATAATACTAGATCAAATATCTGGATGTACATGTTGACTGGGTCCGTTTTAGGGGAATGTGAACTGTTGGACTTCTTACAGTTAAACAATGATAGTTATCAGAAAGGCGCACAATTATACAATAGTGCAACACTTGTATTTTTGAGTTATAAATGAGTCACTGTGATTAAAAAAAAAATGTGTATGTTTTCGAAATGCCAAGATGTTTTCATAAGAGAGTTTAAATATATTCGTACCCTGTTTGTGATTAGGATTTCAAATGAAAGTCATTATTGAATTAAAACATGTAAAATATGTGCAATTGCAAACGATAGATCACATATACAGCAGAGTTTTAATAAAATCGCATCTCTTTCTGATTTGGTTCGTAATATTCTTCTATTACATATATGCATGCAGTACATCGTTCGCCTATTTCAGTGGATTGACTCATTTGGGTGTAATATTCATAATACATATTTGTTGTAGAGCATTAGACGAAAGGGTAGCAATCGCCATAGTATTCTAGTAGCATTGAATTCTATATATAGTCGGATAACTTAGCATAGTGGTGTATTATTGTAGTGCTAAGATTGAAGTACATTTATCTCTTTAAAAGTAATGATTTAAAATAAACCATTAGTAAAAATAAACAAAATCCGCGTAAATCCTGTGGACAACTTGACCGAGAAAAGGGCCACGCGTATTACATGTATTGACCGTTAGTACAGTATATTACAAGTGAATGAGATAATCCGGATACATATGTCTCTCGAGTAGTTTCCTGTACTATTTATGTCATCACTTGAAACGGACAGATAATAAGCTGGATAGGTAATTTAAATCAAATTTTAAGGATGTTTATATTATTTCTGAATATTTATATCTTAAATGTAAAAACAAAGGTTAACAAAGAATTGAAAATTACAATATTCCGTATTAGTTGTTGTCCAAAAGTTTATTATTGCCGTTACATAGTTATCGAAAACCTATTTGTTTAAATTGTTTTGATATTTCTCCGTCAAAAAGTATAAGAACACACAAAAATGGAAATATAAGTCATTCAGGTCGCATTCGGTGCATCATCTGTGACCAGATATTCTGTTATGGTCTATACTAAGTCATAAAAGCATCTCGAAAGCTTTCAAACAGGTTTAATGGCTTCATTGTATGATACAATACCCTTGAAAGGGGGAAACGAAAGCTCTAGAAAATAGTATCAACTGGAAGACAAATAATACTTCAAATGCAGGTCGAAGGGTTGCTGGCATGTTGCGTCGTAAAAATGAAAAGTTCACAAAAGGAAAATTAAAACAATCTTTTTCCTTTTGTAAAGTCGAGTTTGCAACCGACCGTCACTGTCGATATTTAGGTGGAAGTCAATGTATGAATTAAGCAGTGCTAGTTTTATCTGTGGTATCCTTAATTTCAAGTTAGATTAGATACATGTAGATACAATAAACATTCGCATATATATGTTTCCCGTTTTTCGATGTTCACCTTTTTATGTATTTTCAATCTTACTTATTCATTAAAAGGTAAGATGAAAATGCGGAATACTCCAAGCACGAGTGATCTATAGCTTAAATAAAGCTATTCGATTGTAGGTGTCAGACCAGCAATTCACCCACTTCAATCTAGAACATGTAAAAGTAGCCCTTCCCTGACAAAATATAGTGCTTTTGATGTCATTGTTTACTTTAACTAACAAACAAATTTGCAGAAATGAAACTCTTGGTGAAAGAGAAATATTTTAAACCATTTTGAGCCAAAGTCTACTTGTCCATGATGTTCCATTAAAAGTTGGGGATTAATGCGCTCCCTAGTATACTTATTTAAGACTTTCAGAAATCCAGGAGTAATTTTTAGTAGCAGTTGACATCCGAACGGTGGTGTTTCACTGCAAGACTTTAACATTGGTTAAATATTGGTATATAGAAAAGTGATACATGTACAATTCAGAATATACCTGAATATACCTATGAAGTTAAACTTGAGGTAAAATATTTAAAAAGCTGTGAAATTGAAAAATTTGGTTGATTGTATAGGGGATTTGAATTGGTGGTCTGACACCTTACAGTTTCTTTAATTTCTGTGCATTTTCTGTTTTCAGCAGATTCTGGGTATAATTCTTGATTAACCACACGTTGATTAAACGGTCGCAAATATTTTCCATTCAAAATACAATTGGAACATTGTAATAGGATTTTCTTTACACCAGTAGAGTAAAATATGCTTCCATTTAACTCAATTTATCCTATCTCAAAGTTAAATTTTTAAATATTAAAATTCTTGACAAGCCTTGCAAATTTCATAATAATATGGTGTTTTTGTGATAGAATCTATATAGAGAAAGCATGGTATCAGTTGAATAAGGGAACACACCCATGATATAAAGAATAATAACTATAATTACACCTTATGTAAGAATCCTGGGTTTTGATTGGTTGATAGCCAGTGTTTTTTTCACCAATTTACTTTTATCAAATGAATATCGTTCATTTTTAACAGCGCCGGGGTATATGCAAAAAGGATATGCCTTTCTTACCCTCTCTGCCGTGGTATTTGCCAAAAAATACTCTATCCGACTGGACGCTTGTAATGTCACGATCATCAATGCATTTTATGTCACGATCATCAATGCGTTTTGTACGTTAACATTCGGTGTAATTAAACAGATATAGCATGTTCTTGAGGGGTATTTGCGAAAAATACCAGTCTTGAGAATGAATTTCCCTCGCCTTACGGCTCGCGAAATTTAACATTCTCTCAACTGGTATTTTTCGCAAATACCCCTCCTTAACATGATATATCTGTTCAATATAATATCAGAGACCATCTTTCTCGTTGACATATTCTGGAAGGTCGACAACAATGCAGTATAAAATCAAAGATATTTTTTCAATCCTATTTTAGAAAAAAAAGACAACGTTCCCTCCTAAGCAAGTTCTCCAATACGTCCCAACATAATAATCAGAGGGCGTGAGTCTCATTTGAAATGTAATTATGTTTACGAAACAAGTTCAAATTAACATTAAATTGTGACGTTTTTTTGTTCAAATCCCGAATTGAGGTCGTCGATCGTTAAAGTTACGGGGGATTATTCTAAAAGGATAATAATCACCAACTTGTCAATCTGTCCGTCCAAAACAAATAATAGAACATCTTCAAACGTTGTTTGAATTATATTTCTGTCCTTAAGGTTTCAAATTAGTTTAAAATATATATTTATTTATATTACATATAATTGCTTTGAAGTAAATTTTGTAAAGTTCATTTTCATGAATAAAATACATGTAACATATAATATACAAGTGGTTTTACAAAATGAAGAAAAAAACTTCTCGTTTTAGTTTAAACAAGGAAGTACTACGTTGAAGAAGCTGGTTATAGTGGAAATCTTTTATGTAATCTAAATGATAGAAATGATGAGATGCAAATATTATTTTAGAAAACAATGTACCCTGCTAATAATAATAAAATCTAATAAACAGCAGCGCCATGAGCGCATGATACGCCCGTCGTCTTGTGTGTGAATTTTTATGCAATAAGCATAAATAGTTTCTGACATACGGCGTGACATGCGAAAACCCCCTTTTTTTTTACAAAAACTCAATATTTCTAAAATAAAATTTTGAATCAAAACCAAAAAGTATACAGATCTTTAGATTAATATAACTAAGAAGTGTGTAAAATTTTAAGCAATAATCATAAATCGTTTTTGAGATACGTCGCGACATGTGAAAACCCCCCTTTAAAAAAAAAAATCAATATCTCAAAAATAAAATTTTGAATCATCACCAAAAAGTATACAGATCTTAAGGTTAATATAACTAAGAAGTGTGTAAAGTTTTAAGCAATAATTATAAACTGTTTTTGAGATACGGCGCGACATGTGAAAAACCCCTCCCCCTTTTTTTTTACAAAATACTCAATATCTCTAAAATAAAATTTTGAATCATCACCAAAAAGTATACAGATCTTAAGATTGATATAACTAAGAAGTGTGTAAAGTTTTAAGCAATAATCATAAATTGTTTTTGAGATACGGCGCGACATGTGAAAAAAAAAACACACACCTGTTTTAGTTACTAAGTCCCGTAACTCAAAAAGTTTTAATCTTATTTTCACCAAAAGTATACAGATCGTTTGACCATCATAAGAAACAACTATGTTAAG